CCCGGTTCCACTCGAAAATACGCGTGCCCGTGCCGGTTCCAACCGAAAATCAGGAATCGCTCTGTTCTAGAGTGGAACGGCCGGTTCCCATCCGATTCAGCCATGTTCTAGAGTGGAACCGCCGGTTCCCATCCGGTTCAACCCGGTTCTATAGTGGAACCGTCGGTTCTCATCCGATTCAACCGGGTTCTATAGTGGAACCGCCGGTTCCCATCCGGTTCAGCCCAGTTCTATAGTGGAACCGCCGGTTCCCATCTGGTTCAGCCCGATTCACACACGTAATACATGACACACACGTGCGAGCGTGCCTCACACACACTCACACGTGTGTCCGAGCACACGTGCGAGCGTGCCCCACGCACACTCACACGTGCACACGTGTGTCCGAGCACTCATGCGAGCGTGCCCCACGCACGCTCACACACATAACACATGACACGCACGTGCGAGCGTGCCCCACGCACTCTCACACATGTAACACATGACACGCACGTGCGAGCGTGCCCCCTCGCACACTCACACGCGCGAGGCTCTAAATCATAATAGTATCGAGCAATATGCTTTCAATATTGAAAATCTTTGTGATAGCCTTAAGATATATTTTCATCTTTAATTATAAATTTTAAAGTTTCAAAAATATAGTAGATCGAGCATATCTATAAAAATCTTGAAAATTGACGGTCCAAAAATGCTTTATAGTATGCACTATTTCCAAAACTTGAATCCATTTTTTTCTCATGTCCATGTAGATATATGGGCATCAAAACAACCTCTTCTAGTGAAATTTTTGAAGTGGACTTTTGATTGTTTAGAGTGTGGGCTCCCTATTGGTTTTATTATGCCACATTCTAATTTTTTTGGGATTTAAATTCCTTTTATCTTACCATTTCTCTTTTTTTTTTTTGTTTTTTATTTACTGGTTTTTTCTTTTACCTATTTTTTAAATTTCTTCCATTTTTAAAATTATTCTTCCTTTTTCTTTTATCTAGTTTTTAAATTTCTTTCATTACTCAATGGTTTTTTTCTTTTATCTATTTTTCAGATTTCTCCCATAACATGTTGACGCGTTCACTGGAGGCGTCGGCAGTGGAAGGATTACCTCCTCTCTTCGCAGTGGATTATGTCTTGGCAGTGGAAGATTAGCTCCTCTCTGGGCAGTAGAAGGATAACGCGGCCGATTATCTATTGGCAGTGGAAGGATTACCTCCTCTCATGGCAATGGAAGAATAACACGTTGGCGCGTTCACTGGCCGATTACCTCTTGGCAGTGGAAGGATAAGACGGCCGATTTAAAACCCCGAGCTCTGTGGCGTGGGCTTGTAACTCAGGCGAGGGCACGGGCACGTAAGGTGGCTGGACCTGTGCTTTGCATCTCTTTTGGAAGGATTACCTCCTCTCGTGGCGGTGAGGAAGGATAACACGGCGGATTACCTCTTGGCAGCGGAAGGACTACCTCCTCTCTTGGCACGTTCACTGGTCGATTACCTCTTGGCAGTGGAAGGATAACAGCCGATTTAAAACACCGAGGGCCTTCTCCAAGCCAGGAGTTGGTAGGGTTTGTCTTGCCCAAGGGCTCGGTGGACTCGAGCCTAGAGTGGAGGGAAACGTATGAGGCTGGCTTGTTGGAGGGCTTGGTGGACTCGATCCTAGAGTGGTCTTGCCGAAGGGCTTGGTGGACACGATCCTAGAGTGGAGAGAAATGCATGAGGTTGGCTGGTTTGTCTTGCCCAAGGGCTTGGTGGACTCGATCCTAGACTGGAGGAAAACAGCGACTACCTCTCGCACTTGGAAGTAAAAGGATAACACGTTGATTCGTGGATTTGCCCATTCAAATCCTACGAGTTCTATTTCCACGTGGACAACCACTATTGCCAATTTTTATTTGTATTTTTTAATGTCTATTTTTTTTTATTGGTTCCTCCCTTATTCTTTGTGCTCAAGCTCCTTTTTGTCGATTTTTATTTGTATTTCTTTGTTTTTGTTTTTTATTCTGTCAATTTTCTCCTTTGTTTATATTTTTCATTTTTTCAATTTTTATTTAAATTTCTTCCTTCTTTGTGGTCAAGCTCTTTTGTTTTTATTTTTCCTTCTGTTAACTGTTTATATTTCTATTTCTTTCAGTTAGCTCCTCCCTTTTTTCTTCATTGTCAAACTTCCCTTGTTTTTATTTTCCATCATAGTTTATTTGCTCATTCAAAAAGACCTATTTACTATACATTAGTAAACATATAATTACCGATAAATATCAAGTTTTCAAGAGAATATTTTACTGTTTTATTATGTTATTGTAATACTATAAACTATTAATCTGCTCTGCACGTGATATTTAATACTAATTATCGAAATATATTTATCATTGAAAAACATTTTTAATAAAATATGATCTTAGAGGGGGAAAATTCAATGAATTGACGTTCAGAACTTAATATTATATTAAATAATTATAAATTTGATATTAAATACTATTTTAATATAATATTAATTAACATGATCCATTTCACAGGCTGATTTCTATTTGGCATGAATGCCTACTGTCATGTGTCACCATTACTCCATCCAATATCTAACAATATGTAATGAAAGCCATATGTGGCATTCAGATGATTTGAAGGAGTTTGAACCTCAGTGCCTTGTTAGGCGTGTATTTTCAATAATCTCAACCCCTTCTTCCATTGGTTTCAGATCTATAAAAGTTGCCTCTTGGGAGAGAGGGAGAAGTTTGGGTGAAGAGAGAAAAGATGTGTTTAGAAAAGGTAATCATTCTTTAATTTGTTTGGGTTACAAAAACATGATTAAAGAGGGTAAAGTTAATTAGAGGGTTAAAAGATATAAAACATAAGATTTCTATGGCCCAAAATATGTTTTAAATCCTTGGGTGTCCGGAGATATGAAACTTAAAAATAAAAGACATGGAGATATTTTTTCTAAAAAAAAATCATGATTCATGTAAGGTTTCTTCATTCACTTCTCTTCACTAACATGTAGTGCATGTCCTAGTTTGAGGGAAAAGACAAAGTTACCTTTCCAATTCTAAAATATAAACGAGGATGGGAATTATCCATTTCCCACATGAAAAAACTAAGTTGATCCAGTGATCCTTCTTCACAAAAAAAAAAATAGGCAATGCCAAGGCATCTGCATCTCACATCACGGAACCATAATTTGGTTATGGAACAATCATGACAACAATGTCAAATCAGATAGGAAACTGAAAGTTAGCATGCATCTTGTCAGAGCACAAATCTCTTTAGACGCTTCTCTCATTCTTTTTTCTTCCAACTTATCTAATTCATCCAAGCTCCTTTATTTGACAAATTTCATCTTCTTCCTCGCCAATCAGAAAAGGAAAACTCAAGTATAACCAGCATACTCACTTTCATCTTAGGTGCTGGTCACCACCTGCTAACTCAGTCAGCATCCACTTCAGATGAATTGCGGTGATCCTCTGGCTTCTCGATGTTGATATCCTCAAACTCATTGTTACCTGAAAATGAAGAGCAAATAGTAAATGCATAAATACATGCTCAGACAATACCCAATAATGGATAAAGCTTCAAGAAATGAAGTACATTCATTAGAGTAGACCACTTCTCTTGATTCAAATAAATTATGCGGTAGTGTGTGCATTTGTCTTATCATTTAAACTCAATAGCAACAATGCCATCACTAGCTGCACCAGCCAAATGAACAGGATAGCCTGCTAAAGATTGGATTCTAAACGAAAATCACCATATAGTTTCTCAAAGATATCAACTTGGAATGTTTTGCTCACACAATTTTAAGATAACGGAGACACTTCGAGAGAATAACAAGGAGATATCAGTGGTTTATTCCCATCTTTACAAAGACAATAAAAATCTAAAGAAGCTAAGAATTGAGACCTTTTCTTAAAGTCAACGCCACAATTGCATCATTTTCAACCTGCAAAAAACAAAAGGCTGGAACATTAACAACCGATTATTTAAGTCCCAGGAAGCAGAGTTTACTATGACTACCTTCAGTACAAATCTATGACAATATGGTCTATGTTCTTACCAGAACAAGAAACACTTGACATAATACAATATTCAATATAGCACACAAGTTTTTTGAGAAAATTTCCAATGTAGAAGCATGAAATGAAAGGGAAACAAGTTGAGATGTGTTGCCATGATACCATTACCCATAATATGTTGTATGTGATGCAGCATGTCTTAATATCAGCACACAATTGTCCCTTCCAAGGATTGTAGTCAAAGCAAATAAAAGGCCAAAGCGGTTGAATCAGTGAATACAAAAACCATTTTAGAAAGGAAAATGTTAACACTTAGTAATGGATAACCAGGAACACTTCTTTTCAACACCATTTGCGCCAAGGTTATCATGCAAGTAATCAGAGCCTTAGAAAGCCAGGATCCCAAAGCTCTAGAAAACAAATCATTGTGATTAAAAAGGATCTCAGAAGCATGAAACTGATAAAATATGAAAAATTTCAAGGGAACTGATCTTAAATACTAAACACTAAAACCTCAGTGACTAACTTAGCCTTTATGGTTCTTGATTGAAGGATATTAGCTAGGAAAAACAATCAGATTACCATCTCAGAAAGATTTCTAACACAACAAATGAAAATCTGTTACACTAAAAGATATCAAATCACATCTGAATATGGCATATTTGCATAATTCATGCAGTCAACTATCCCAAAAGTGACGGCTCAAAGATTCAAAGATGCATTTCAAAAAAAATCCTAATGTTAATAAATATACAACATAAAAAATAACTTCCAGTAGATAACGAGACACCATTTACACTCTTGTGTGATTACTATGGCTTCTCTCTAAGTCTCCAATAAAATAAGTTCATATGCTAAAGACTTGATGAAAACTTGAAAGCAGACTGAACTATCCTCTGCAAATCTTTCTCCAGAAAACTGTTCAAATCACAGCCAAACAGTAACCGCCTGAATCGAATCCAAGGTCTTTCTCCTTAGAAAATTCTCATGCCTCATTTTCCCAAGCCTCAAGTATTGGAGCAATTTTTACCATTTGTTTCTTATGGAATCTTGTGATTTATTTTGTCATCTTATCATGTGTAATTTGGTATTTCATCTTCATTAATCAGTTTTAAAGAGCCAAAGTCAATGGTTAAATTGACCAAATATATTTTTCTCTATGTTGATTTTCAATTGATTCAGTGTTATTAGTTCCCTTAAATGCAGGAGTAAATAACTCAAATAAACAGCTGAACAATTCAATTTGAAAATTGAAAGATATCCAATTCCAAAATCAACAAATGTAACAAACTCAGTTACATATTTCCAAGTTCCCATCATTCCACAGCTGCATATGGCAAGAAAGATCTCAAGAGTTGTGGGTTGCCAACACGATAAAATATATTTGAATCATCAGGATGGTGCATCTTCCCCATTTACCTCCTATTTTACTATGTTTTGTTAAAGAACTTCAACACCTTCACAACAAGTCCTACCTAGATAAAAAAAGTGACCAAGATATCCCCAATGACCCAGGATTGACAGTGATCGACATCATTCAAAATGGTCCACGTGCAGCGGGTAGATACTCTGACATGATCCACAGTCAAAGGAATTTTATAAAGCAAATGAGAAGGATCACTTCATTCTTGCAAATTCATAAAAGGGACTGAAGATCATGATTAGGAAATTCAATTGCATAGATAAAGTATATACCACTAAATATTGCTAGTTCTATATGCCAAATATGTCAGATGATAAATTTCAGTAAACAAGTATCCAAGTTCCATGTTAACCAAATATAAACCGTGTGGATTTATATTTGGTAAATATTTTTGGCACAAATACCTTGAAATGATAGAAGCATTGGAAGGGTTAAATAACAGGCCAATTTTAAACTTAAATTAATATTTATATATCTCAAGATGATGCCTTCACGTATGATAAAAAAGATTTCAAAGCATGATAATTCGTTTTTTTACATACAAAGGCTTGGATAATATAAAAAGACAATCATGATAAAGAAAACTAACTACTTCAAACAGCAACCTTTTGCTCTGCCAACGTCTTTAAATCATCCAAAATGTCCCCTGTAGCAAGCAGGATGAGCCGTTGATTCTCTACAGGCTCATCAATTAGCGAATACAACTTTTGCTTGATCTCTAGAATTTTCTCAGTCGGCTCACATTGTATAAAATATGTTGTCTTACTACGCTTAACACGAATAAACATAGCCTGAAAAATGAGTAAATAAATTGAATTAATATTCTATTACATATTTCAAATAAAAGTTAAAACCATATTGTGATGGTGGAGCTCCATTTTTCTCTTTTTGGAGTAAAACAATTGCATTCTTATGATAACTTGGCACGAGCAGAAAAAGCCAACAAATAAATAAAACCTATAATTTATTTAAATAATGTAGGTCGCTTCAAGCCCATGAATTCAAAACACAGTTCCACTAATACAATCTTATAGAAGTGCCCTTGTATCCTCATAATTAGTTTAGGCAATTACACCATGTTTCCTATAGAAACAAGTATAAACAATCAACAGAGAAATGGCCCTTTTGGAAATTATTCAAGTTTAAATTTAATTAACTAGATATAGGCATGAAACAAAAAACTATAAATCATTGTTGTGAATGGCCACTAGATGAATATCAGTAACTTTTCTATCTTATAAGAATCTAAACAGACATTCTCATGTGGAGCACCGCACACTAGTACGTACATGCATAAATGAAAGCATTCACATGATAGATAGATGTTCTGCATATATGCATGCTGAGATATACAGAAACACATGCATATTAACGATTGTACCACACACTTGCATACCAATATCCCATAAACACAAATACGGACCCATGCACATCAATGTCTATCAGTTTTTGTATATGCAAAACGCATGCATGCATGCATTCACGTAAACACAACAATATATTGCATTCATGTAAACACAACAGTATATATTATAAACAAAAACATAAATTCAAGTCATAGTAATAGCACTAAGTTTTGAGGGCAAGGATACCTGGCTTAGATCTTTTTCAAGGTTTTTCTTTGCTCCTCCAAGGAATCCTCAGAATACACAGAAGACTCACAATTAAAGCGTTTTCAATAGGTAAACTTATAAATTCAACAAGGTTCCTATGTCCAATTTTACAAAGCAGTGGTTTTCTACATGTTAATAAGCTTTGAGAGTTTTAGTTTACATTGAGGAAGCACAATGCATAAGGAATGAATCATGAGCCATTCTTTGTTCACTTTTTAGTTTTGGATCCAAAGTCGGATTGAATGATTATGTATTCTTCTTTGTTCTCTTCATGTGTGGGTCTATAGTAAGTGTTTAAACAATCCAGCATAGATTAAAATGCAAGTATCCAATGTACATTTAAATGGATTTCAAAGCTTTCCAGGGGTCAAAATATCTTATAATTTTACGACAATGTTCTTCATAGTTTAAAGAGAAACTACATATGCTATGGGCTTCAGGAATAAACTAACTTTTACCCTAAGCTGCTCACCAATCAAAAAGAAATTATGCTGAGCTTCAGACATTCTATATTTTGAGCATAGTCATGGATGGATGGAAGCTAATCTCATGCTTCTTGGAAACCATGTTCTCTACGGTATCCCAAGGATGATAGGGTAGATAATCTAGAAAGCATGATTTTTAAGGAACATTAGGTTGATGAGTAAGTGTAGATCTCTTATTTAAAGTTTTTTTTTAATTAAAAAAAAAAGCATTACGGAAATATAGCTAGCTATGAGATGCTTTTCTTTGACTAGATGCCTAACTAATACCAGAGGAGATATGCATAGCATTCACAATGCAGATAAAACAGAGACAGGAATGGATGATTGAAATATCCTTCTAATTTGAATTATTGACTTATTATGACGATGCGCATGCAATATCCTTTGGAAGTGATGCCTACCATTAGAACACGACTCAAATCCGTTTCTGTTTTTTTCTACAGGCTTTATGGAAATGACAGCCTAATCTTTTCTGAAGTTTTCTAGTTTTCTTCGCATGATGGAACCACAATATTTCTGATTTCTTTGGCAGGCTCCTTAAGAACACAAAATGAAAACAGCAATTATCAAAAAATTAATACGAGAAAAGGAAAGAAAGAGGCATCGCATGCTCCTTTTGGTGCCACAGGTAAGAAACCAGTTTCTTGGATAAAAAAACAATGCAAAACTGAAACTTCAAACCTGAAAACTCACCATTTCTATGCACTCAGCGAAGTAAGAGGTCAACGACTAATAATTAGAGAAAACCCTTCGGTAGATAGATGGTTTCCTCAAAAGTTGTCAGACCAGTACTATCCAATTTTCTACTAATGGTTCCTGCATAGTCATACATCAGATAAAAAGCATTTACTATAGGGTTGGCTTCTATAAGGTTGCAACCTTAAACAATCCAAACGTTTTCCTTTACTATAAGCTATCCAAGGATTGTTTCAATCATTAAGGTTCCAATGCAAAACAAAAGATGAAAATAGTAGAGATGAGGAAGAGAGGTCTATCTCTCAGCCATAAAATCTACTTAAAGATTGTTAACACCAAAGTGAAAAATGATGAATAAGTTAAAAATACAACACGAATATCTAAGATTTTTAAAAAGTAATAGCCGATATAGTGGAGTATTATGAAGCAACTGTCTAACATAAAATAATATTCTAACGCCTTTTAGCTGTAGTCAGTTTCCTTTATTTCCTTTCGGTAGCCTAGTTTGCATTAAAGATAAACTTCAGTGATCGAACCTTCCTAGTAAAATGGATACCACATGTCACTCTCACCAGATTCATGGCCTTTCTTTTTTGCTGAATAAATTTTGGCCAATCTTCTTCAACTTTTTACTAACTTATGTAACTGATAAATCTTTAAGAGCAAGAGTCAATTGTCTAAAATAGTTCATTGTAAGTAATCAAAACAGAGATTTCAAACCATAGTGAATAACAAAAGTACATATACAAACCCACAAAATAATTTTTACCAGCATTCCGTAAAGAAATGGTTCCTGAAAGAAAACCCCTTTGCGAAGAACACTAGCATGTTACCTAAAATGTTATAAATTTAGAAAATGTTCAAATAGATCGTTACGAAAAACAAGATCTTTGAACAAAACAATGGAATTCCATATCCTGAAGAAGAAAACAAGTAGCAAATAACTGAATATAAGAAACACTCAAGTTCCCCAAAAGATTGCCTTACTCGCAAGCAAATACTATCAACATTATGGATTCAATCACTAATTCAAGAACTCAACATCTGGATCCTGCAACCCACCTAATTCAATTAAATAATCCCCAAACTTCACCACCAGCATTAATTTCTCAGGCATGTAACCAAGAGAAACAGAAGGCTAGGAATACTTCCCTACACAATTTACGTATAAACCCTAATTTTCATTCTGGAATTAGAAAATGGAGGAAACCTAAAGCTCGGTGTTCTTAAATGACAAAAACAAACACCACAAAAAACCCTAATTTTGGGATTAAAATAAGAGGAGTGAGAGCTTGATTATTACCGGTACAACCTGAGATTTTGTCATAACGATAACGTTCGCATTTTGGCGGGTTCAAGGTTTCGTGCTCTCCAAGTCATATATACATAGCATGGATCATTTGCATAATTACTGAAGGAAGAGGAAGAGTGGATGAGAGAGCAAACAGAACGCAAGAGTTTAGAGATTGTTAGCAAAATCGCCCGACCTAGCCGTTAACGGCACCGTGGCCGGTTTCGGTTTTGACAGTTAAGTGATCAACTCGTATTTAAAAAAAAATATTAAAAAAATATATAAAATTTTTCAAAAATAAAACATTTGATTTGTAATGCATTTTTAAATATTCTTTACATTATAGTAAAGATTCAAATTTGTTTTGGTTATTAATACTCATTTTAATATTTTCTCATCTTTTTTAGCAAATTTTAAAAATAGCTATTAGAAAATATAAAATAGGTTAAAATCCATTTTTTTCATTAATTTTCAATTTCATTTGAATGTATTTTGCTTTAATCATTCTTTATATGCTTTTCATATTTTAGTAGATTTTTTTTTTTTTTCAACATTTTTTTGATTGCCCGGGATTTGTGCGGTTAGAGCAGTTAAATCGGCCAGTATACCAGTTAGACCAATTAAATTACTTCCAGGCCCATATTTGATTAACTGTTTCGGTTTCGATTTTACGAACATTAGTTTAGAGAAGTACAAAATGAAGAGCAGTGGGGACGAGGACAGAGAAAAGGATCATAAGATCCTCAAATTTAGAATTGCATTCAACAAAAAAACGAGGTGTATTTTAGAGAGAGAGGCAGATGCCATAATAAGAGAAAAGCATTAGAGAGAGGCAGATGCCATAATAAGAGAAAAGCATTAGAGAGAGGCATATACTATAATAAGAAGAAAGCATTATTTTTAATCTCACGTAAATCCCACATTCGAATAGTATCGAGAAATATGGTTTCAAATATAGTATCAAAGATAGAGTCGAAATACCATTTGGAACTACAAGAGGATCATCACAGGAGAGTGATGATTGTAAAACACTTGGTTAAAGTGTCGACTGATAGTTTCTTCTGAGTGACCAAACTCATAACCATTCTTTCGGTTCTTCAGATTATGGCTTACAATGTGTATGAACATCACAATTTGTTCATCAAATGAAACCCATATTGTATCAGTGATATATATTCTCTCTAAAAAAATATTCATCAAGATAAAGTAAGCTCTTTTACTCATTCTAATCTGGTTTCGACAATCCACCTCAATAGAGTTAATTATCATTTTATGGTACTTTATACCAATTAAATTATGTTTTAGTGCATAAGATTTATGCACATAGGTCACTAGAATAGTACCAAATATAACTAGAGTACTACTAGCTGCAACAAGAGGAAAGCATTACAAAAACTTATCATCATCAGATTTCTTGGCTTCCAACAATTCAAGCAAAAGGATGCAAATATCATGACTTCATTTCATTATTAATTCATTCAAATTGCAAAAGTACCAATATGAGTAGCTTAAACAGACTAAAAACTAGAAATTGCATACAAACTATATACTTCCCCTTATCCAACCGTCCATTATGAATGGAGGGCTAAGATTGCTCCAATCACAATGTCACATCTGTACACTATTTTATTTTTATTTTTTTTTCTACAAACTATTTTAACACCAAAATTTGTATGTCCAATCCTATATTTAACTCGCACTACCGAAAAATATAAAAAAAAATGTTTTCAATAAAATAAAATGACCAAAATACCCTTGAGAGTTTTAAGGGGTATTTTGGTTATTATATTTTATCGAAAAATTATTTTTTATAGGTGCTTCCAATGAGAATATGGCACATTCTAAATTTCATAGTCATACAATTTGTATAAAAAAAAAACTAAAAATAAAATACTTTCAGACATTAGATCTAGGATCAAACGGTGAGTGGCTCTCTTGATCAAAATTGGACAGCTGGATGGTAGGGAAAACATAGATCTTCTATGCTGGAGGGAAAGCATACACACCATTCCCTTATTATATGGGTGTGGTTTCTATAAGGTTGCAACATTAAACAATCCAATAAAGGTGCACTTTAAAATTTTATCATAACATGTAATTTTGTTGTAAAAAATTCTTAGTATTATCTTAAAATCTATTTTCATACCTAATTAGAAAATTGTAAAATCCAAAATTGATTAAAATCAAGTAGATCTATACATATAAGAAATTCTAAAAAATGGACGGTCTAGATAATGTGTTACAAAATGCACTATTTTTTAGGTTCAAAAACTTTTTTTTTTCATATCCATACATCTTGATGTCGAGATGATCGATTAGAGGTTTTTTCAATATTTAAAAAATATTTCCGATAGATTTTTGAGGTGCATATGTGATTTTAGATTTTAAGGTTGCAACGTTATTAAAACTTTTCCCTCATTTATATTGGTCTGTCTTATTTTCTCTCTCCTACTCATCAGTCGTGCTCTTTTTCTTTTCCTCTCTACAATTTATTTATTTGTTTATTTTTATTTTTTTTTGGCGTTTTTATTCGTTTTGTGAGAAGAAAGTTTGAAACTGTCATCTGCCAAACAGCTCGTACACGAAACCAACGCCTTCCTTTAAAACCCATTTCATCGCCAAGGACTCATGGAAAATTTTTCAATGGAATGTCGAGAGAGAGAAAAGGAGTGGAAAGAAACTGAAATCGTCCGTTTTGAATTGTTTTCTGACTTTGTGGGTGTATTTATGGTTTGATTTAGGTGGCAGTTTAGTCTTGCTTTTGGAGAGAGAGAGAGAGAAGCTTCATCTGCTGATTTCTTTCTTTCACGTTTCTGGGTTTTGGCCAAAAGAGCGCGCCTTTTATATCTCTCTTCCCAAAACATAGGATTTCTCTTCTTTCTCTCATTGTTTTTTCGAGAAACTCAATTATTTGCATTTTAATTCCCATTTGTTGTTTTACTCAAAAGGAGAAGATCTGTGTGCTAAACCGTTCTTGAGAGCTCTGAAATCTGCACCACCGGTGAGTTTTCTTAACTTTGATTCCTGTGATTGAATATGCAGTTATTGTTGGGTTTATGTGGCCTTTAAAGACGTTATGAGTCTGTATTGAAATATTTTTATAGTGAAACATAAATTCAGTGGGAGTGTGGTCTCTCAAGGACCATACTAAGCAAATGATGTTTGTTTATACCGGACTGTGCTTATCGATCTAAGCCAAACGGTTGGAAAACCCAAGGTACCTAGGCATAAATAATTAACTGATGAGGGTTTTGGGTTAGCTCTTAATGATGTTAGAGCTTATACTTAGATGAGGGACTGTGTGAACCTTGTGTGTGATGGTAGGCTTATTGAGACAGGGGCCAAAACCTCATCCATGTTCCATCACACAGCATGCATATTACTAGATCATTCAGAAAAGCCAGATATCCACCTTTGGGTGAAACGTATATATGTGCGAGAGATACCCCTACGCACCATAGAGCTATGGTCGCATCAGGCCGTGGTGATATTGACTCGTCTCCAGGAACGGACCTCTAATCCACAGACTAGGATTGCGACCCTTTGATTCATTGATCTGACTTTGGTGACTCGCTAATGAGCCCTGCTTGGACTGTGGGTCATAGGAAGCACTAGGTCGGTTCGATAAAGCTAGTGTGGTTTGTAGTCCACAGTTGAAGGTGGAGTACCTCGTTATTACATATTGGATTCCTAAAACCATATAGATCATTTTCCCATCATATTAACTTAATTGTGTTCATTTTATTATTGAAATGATTTTAGTTTTATTATTTGAATTTTTATGAAACTTTTAATATTTTATTTATGATTTTTGGACTTATAAAAATACAGTTATTATTCTTACAAAGTTATAAAAATTCAAATATATATTTTAAATTGTTTTTTTCAAAAAATAATATTTTTTTTATAAAATTCCAGGGGGCCTATAGTGCACATGGGCCCACCATGTGGCATGTGGGTCGGGGCCCACATGTGCCACAAAAGGGTGGCATTTCCCTTTTGTAGCAAGTTTGTTTTAAAGAGATATGGTCAATTTGAATTGATATGGATCTTATCTTATGTATATTTGGTAGTATTTATCTACTTGATATTATTTGATATATTCTTATGGAATATGTGACCGTGCAATTTTATAGAATGCATGATTTTTATTTTATTTAAATATATTGATGGGAAAATAGTTTAAGGAAAAGGAGATAATAGTCCAAGCACCTTCTATAATATTGATGGCACATTTATGGAATGGATGGCTCAGATCTCTCACCTCACAAGTCACATTGATCAACAGTCTAGATTCAATCTCATGAAAGAGGCAAACTATGGGAAAACTCTAAAAAACCTTAAACCTAAATAGTCACTGTAATATGGGTGCTCTCCCCCCAATCTCAACACATCTCTCTCTCTCATAACCTCTCTCTCACCTCTCTCTCCTAGAGGGGCACGCCCCATTCTCTCTCCTCCATCTTTCTCTCTCTAATTTACTCTCTTCAAATTTTAGGTGGTACTCTCTCTCCTATCCAGATCTAAGTTAATTTTGGGGGTTAAAGTTTTAGTAGAATTTTTAAAGGGTGATTATCTAGTTTGGTCGAAATCAACTATCCCGGTTCGAAATCGAAGCTAGACCACATATCCCGCGCCATTGAATGTGGTGACTCGATGTGAGCTGTAAAAAGCCCGGTTGAGATAATCTCCAGCATCTTTTTTTTATTTGTTAAGTTCTTTTATTTTATATTCTCAAGCACAGTATTAGGTTGTATGAATGACATCAAGTAGTTGAGATTTAGTTTTTTGGAATTTGTATTGTTTGTAATAAGACCATCTGTGAGTGATCTTGTTGCCAAATTAATAAGGGGTGATTATTATAAAAAATAAAAAATAAAAAATTGTATTTCCCCGACAAAAGATCACATGTCTTTCTTTCATTGGTATCAGAGCTAGTTTTACTTGATTGTCTTTAGGAGTCTTTTCTTATGTTTGCTTGAGAATAGAAATATACTGATGCTCATACATTCATCTCTGAGATCTTGAAAACCGAAATGTTTGATGGTACCAACTTTGCTTCATGGAAAAGAAAAATCAAATTTGTGCTTTATGAAGAAAACTTACATGAAGTACTCTTTGAGGACCGACCTCGTCGTTCAACTCATCACAAATAATCAAATATGAGTACGCTAATTGGAAG